TTTTTTTTTTTCACATACCTGAAATCCTATTTAAAAGGGTGTATCAGTCTTCACAAAGTGGCCTTACAAACAAACAAAGCTGGCGAATTCATGGCTCGGAAATTAGTAAAACACCAATGTCGTGCTAAAAAACTGTTATAACAGCAGCACTCAGGGACTTCGTTCAGGTACGCTACTTTCATTTTTTACGTGAGTGCCCCACTCTTCGGGGGACTGAGCTAGATTGCAGGAGGGTCTCAGTGGGGTTAACCGTCGACCGTCAAATGGCCAAAATATTCAGTTAGCCGTCAACCGTCAAAAACGCAATATTTTTACCGTCAACCGTCAAATAATCAAGCCAATGTTAGCCGTCAAATGTCTCAGATATCCTTAATCAAGAACTAAACGATTGCCTTAATTGGGATCAAGTCCTGTGGTTTATAAATAAAATTTTTGATTTACCACAAAAATACATTTACTTCAGTCCTCTAACTTCTAGTCGCGAGTCAGGCGCGAGTAAAACTGATTAGCGACAGAACTGAATTCCGGTGTGGAAACTCTTCCGGTGCCATAAAACGTCAGTCATTTATTAATAAAAGGTGTTATGAATTAACAGTTCTTTACAAACGCGTCATTATGATAAATTACAGCCAAATTCGCGCTTTTAGTTCAATTTATAAACGAAATTCCAAAAAATTCACCGTCAACCATCAATTGACTTAAGATTTAACCATCAACCGTCAAAAGGGCTCATTTTTAACAGCGAACTGTCAACGTGAACCCCCCTTCCTCCTCCCCCCATGGAGCCATGGAGACCCTCTTACAGTGGCATCTTAGACAACTTGTATTTTGGTTAGATTTGGTTGGTTAGATTTCCCTAAACACAATATCTGTGAAACGTGAAGCGAGCGAAAGTGATCAATTTAAGACCTGTTATGACCCGATCTGTCGATTCCACATGGTGAAAGTGAAAATTTCACTTTTCTCGAAAATAAAAACATGTTTGAGAGAAAAAGCTACACAGCGTTTCTTGTCTTATTAGGGGCTACTTGTATACAAAAATTGAGACAATTTGAATTTTCCACCCTTGCCAAAAAAGTTTCATTTTTGTTTTATTTTTGCATGGATGTCCTCTTAAGCATTAGTCCTTACCAACCTCTAATACACAAAATGGCGGATAGAGAATCACGTAGGGAGGTTTTATTTATTAAAAACAGTACAATAAAAAATACAAACAGCATAGAGACAAAAAGAGATGCTACAAAAAAACTACATTGCACATATATAGGGAGGAGATGTGCGTTACTTAAAGAGAGGATTTACTATGATGAAATACTTAAACTTAAAGACAATTTTAAAAAAAAGCGTTCGGTTGAACAAAGCTACGCTGAAGAGTTGCATCAAAGAATACGGTCTGAAAAGAAGAAATCGGCTACACCATGTGAATGCAGTTCGAGACTATAAGATCATGAGCCACCAGTAAGGAAGGTCTGTAAGGGAGGATAGACATATTTGGTACATTTGTAGAATACAAAGTAATAGTGTCTCTGTTCTCTTGTCGAAATTTTTCCCAAAGAATTGGATCAAGAACCGCATGACTTTTATCATATGACTTTTGCAAATGTAGAAACAAAAATTGAACTTTCGTAGGGATCAGGCTTAACGCCTCTCGTGAGCTTTGAAATAGGACATACTTGCTCATTTCAGGTTTGAGTTTTACTTCCGCTATAATGTTCGCTGCGATGTCTACAGACTTTTTCTGAGTGCGAAAACTAATCTTTTTGTGTGTCAATTTAAAATTAAATTATATTATGTAAGACTTAATGGACTAAAGTAAAGTCAAAATTTTCATAAATGCATGGTATTTACATGAAACTTTTGTCGTGATAATTGCGGGTCACCGAATTGGACAATTTAAGAATGCACTGAATATCTTTTAAAAGGGATTCAAATACTTTGATTATAACTTTGATTTACTTTTTAGCGTGCTAACAGCTACCTACAGCAATAATATCAGCTTTATATCAGTGGCCAGGAGGGAATAAGACTCGCGGTTGCAGGAGCGAAATAATAATAACACAGTGAATGTGCATTCGGACACTCGATCCATAACTAGGTCAGACAATCAGTCAGTAGCTCAGTCAATCAATCAATCAGTCAATCAATCAATCAATCAATCAATCAGTCAGATGACAGAAAAGCACTCCTAGCGCTATTTAGGTATCACGGAGATGCAAAACAAAAAACTCTTAAACCACTGTGCTTAGAAAGTCTGTGGGCATATTTCTCCAGCCAAACTTTTAATATCTAAGAATAGTTTGACCGAATATATTTCTTTATTTTGTCATAGAAAATTTAGAACGACAACTCCAGACAGGCCACAGTGATATTATGAAATCGGCGATCAAGGCTGTTGTAGCTTCTCTTATTCAAGTGGTGCTGATCTTCAATCAACGCAGCGTTGAAGCAGAATTCAGTGAAACTTGCGACAACTCCACCAATTCACTCACCTGCATTCATACATATGACCAGCTCTATGACAGCCTAACAAAGTCAGAGAACAGTTTTAACATTGAGTCTGCCTTGTATCCAGCCAAAAGGCCCCGTTCTGTTCGTATGTTTGTGAGTTTACATGGTCCCAACAAAACAGATGAACCCGTTGCACGGTACACTTGGAGCTTATCTTGTCTGTACGTTGCTGTTCCAACTCTCTTCCTGGAAATTGTGTCACTTGGATCAATCCTTGTCAGTCATCGGACAAAAGAATTGAACTTAAACATTCCAAATTTCTGTTGCAATGTGTCGAAAACAGAGGATGAAAGAAGGAAGACAATAAAAGATATGATTGAAGGTGTCCTCGCTTCGGTATGTAAGTTTATTCTCATTTCGAGGAAAACCTGATCTGAAACTGCTTAAACCGAGGTGGTATGAGTATTCGTAATCGTCTGAGAATAGCCCTTAAGCCTTTTTCAGAGGCCATGCTCTGTAAGACAGGGGAAATCGCAAATCATACTTCTCTCCATTAGGACAAGTTTTCAAATTTTACTAAATGATTACATTGCAAATATAACCCATAGAAGGGTCATGAATACCTGTTATAATTGAAGCTCTCTTCCGTTGAAACTGATCGCCAAGAGATGGAAAATACGTGAAACTTTCATGATACTTTGTAGGTTACAGGCAAGCGGCTAAGTTGCTGAGGTTACTAAAGTTGCCATTACATTTGATTCATCTTTGTTGGTGCTCATTTCAGCTTCAAGATCTGGCCATTTAACCAAAGATAAGGGATCCACGGCTGAACAATGCGGAGTGTGTTATCGAGGGCCATGGTATAGATATGGAAGCTACTGGACGCAGTTTCTACATCAGAATAATAATGTGGGTTTCTTTTCTCTTCACCTTCACTGCGTATGAACCATTCTGGCAAATGACAATAGGATATGCGACTCTTTTGAAAATAAAAAATAGTTCTGGATATGAGGCTATGGTATGTTTAAGTATTTTCGTGGGAATACTTGGTTCAGTTAACTGGATGATACTTTCATCTTTCATAATTTATAATATTTTAAGAGACGACCCAACTTTCTACGTAGATACATGTATCTTACATCTTTCTGTTCTCGTTTTGTGCCTTATAACCCCCCTCCCATACACAGCGAAGTACATCTGGGTTAATTGTAGGAGCTCTAATCCAGGCCCGAAATACAGAAGCTATATGTGGTACATTAAACTATTTGCCCCTTTAAGTGCTATTTATACCTGTTTCTACTTCTGTTGGGTGCTCGTCGGCGTAATGCTTAACCCGATTTGGGGCTTGACTGTTGCACTGGCAATATGTTTTACTTTTGCCTCATTCACTTATGTAGTCTACAACTACGTAAACCTTAAGGAATCGTTATTTGATGTTAACATGCAAGGATATTTACGGAAAAAGTGGGTGCGTAGTTGGCTGGCTGTCATATTTCTGACATTGGTGGTAATTTTTGCCGGACAATCGTTTAATGAAAGAGAAACCGCCGATAAACTACTCCAGACTGTTCTGTTGGCCGCTCTTGCTTATGTTATCTCGTGGCTGTCATGGAGGTCTTCGAATAACAGGCAAACCCAACCTGTACTCGGTGGTCCGTTTACCGATCACTCTCCCAGCCAGTCACCTCCAGTAAACGACGCTTTTAATCAACTTCTTCAGCTTGTCACTGATTATAGTGGACAGCAACCTCATTCTGCGAGTGACCAAAGAATGCCGATAATCGATGAAACTTCGGCAGAAATCCAGTCTTCCTCAGGGGGGTCCTCTGTTCACAGCCAACCATCTGCTCTGAGTGAGACTCTGACCGAAATTGTCGTTGATGTGCATGAGTCTCCTTCCAGTGTAACATCTCAGCGCACCCCTAGCCAGCTGCCACTTGATGACTCGTTGAAAGTGAACTATCAAACTACAGCGGAAAGCCAGTCTCTTTTAAGTGATTCACCTGATCATCAAACCCAACCAAATGATTCCTCAATGAGGAATCAAGAAACTGATGAGCCTCGTGAACTCCAACCTCTCATGTTCAAAGAAACCTCGGTGTGAGAGTATATTACTAAAATGGAGCGCACACTTTTCTTGTGGAATTTTTCCTTTTTTAAAGACTGCTGAAGAACGAATTATCCAGGCAGCCTTATTGTGGTGATCGGACTGAGTGGATTGTACAGCACTCGTCTAATTTGAAAACACAAGACTTGTTAGTGTGATTTTAGCTCAAAATCTCACGACAAGAAGTTCAATTACCTGGCTTTATTACATCCATTTTGATAGGCCAAAATTTCATCGCTCAGATACAGGATTTCTTAGTCTGTACAAATGTTTTGTTGATCCAGTTGTAAGCTGATTTATAGGAAGTTGAAAAGTTGGATTTTTATTTTCCTGGAATTTGTTCGTTTGTTTGTTTTTTCAACAAGTAATTATTGTTGAATTTTAGCAAAAGTTTCCTCATTGGATGGGAAAACGATCGGATTAAGAGCGAAATAATGGTGCGTTTCGTGAATGAAAGGTCACAAATGAGACTGAGCCAATCAGATTACAATGATCACTAGTGATTTTAAAATGGAAGTAATAAGAGTGGTAATTAGATTGCCATGAGTTGATCATACTACAGATATTACAAAACGTATAAGCTCCTATAGAAACTGTAGAAATGCGTCGGTGAAAATAACGCAAGATAGTTTGGTTTTTATCAACAGAGTTGATAATACAAATTGGTCACCGTGAAGAGTTTCTATACCTGATATCTCTCATGTTCCCGACCCTCTCTCGCTCCAGGAGGCGAGAAGATGAAAGACCCTGGGAACGAGGTTGACGTTTTAAGCCTTAAACCTTCGCCAGACGCTCAAAACGACAGCTTAAGAAACCCTTACAGTGGCCAACTTACGATATCAACTCAGTTGATAAAAGCAAATTATCCCACAGTCAGGTACCTGCCATTATTTATTACTCAGGGTTGGAAGGGGAGGTGGGTTCAGAGGATTTTGGCTGCCGGTGACCCGATAAAATTGTCTTACCTGATCCCCCATGATGATCTGTAATATTCTTATGTTTCCTTCTCTTTAGCAGTCAATTTCCTATACCCCCTGTAGGTGACGAATGAATCTCCGTCCGTTCCCCCGAAAATCCATTTGATTCGACCTCCCTTCCCCCCCCCCTCACTCCGTGACAAATAATGACTGGTCTCTATTTAACTTTTTAGGAAAACCGAAAAGCTATTTTGATGTGCATTACTTTAACATGTAGTTGTTTAATTGTAGCGAGAAGCTAACTTTAGATCTGAGAAGAATTTCAATTTTCAGTCAGGAGAAATGTCCTACTTTTGAGTATCGCTTTTCTTGGAGCTATATATCCTGGAATTCAATTGTGTTATTATGTGGATAACTTAGTTACCTAAAATAATCTAATGAGATCAGTTGATGTTGATGCGAGCTCTTAACGAATCCATTATATTTGGATTTTCTTTGTTTTGTATGAATGTAATCAGCTTAAAGTAGGATTTGCCACCTAATAAAGTTGTCAGTAAAACCTCCAATACACTTAAATATTCATTTCCGAGTCTATAATAACAAACAGTGGGAGTCCATGATAATGCAGACTGAAACACACCAAAACATCACAAAATCAGATGGAGGCATGACGAAATTCAACGGCTAATTCGTCGATCAATAGGCCTTTTGCAGCTGGGGTCACGTGATAAATTTTAGATATATATTATGGGATACAGCTTGAAGAATACCAGAGATGGAAAGAGCATATCGAAAAATACCAAAACGGCCAAGTTTGGGCCCCGGGAATTACAGAACACTGTTTTTACAGCGGTTTGAACTTTCGGATAATTTAGAGGATTTGTATGGAAAATGTTGCTGGGGAGCGAGGCCTTGCTGTCCAGCAACTTTTTCCATATAAACCTTCTTATTTATTAAAAAATTCAGAGTGTCATCAAATCTCATTTTTGAATAATGGAGGCCTCAAACTTGGCCATTTTGTTATTCTCGAAATGCTTTTTCCTTTTCTGAATTCGGCTAAGTTATAGCCCATAATTTCATGAAAAGTAGGTCATGTGATGGCTTAGCTGCAAAAGGCCTATTCGTAGTTTCAACATCCTTGTTCCCCCCGCATTGAACTTGTGAAGATTGGTTTGTTCAGATTCCCGTACCCCCGGGAAAAATTGTCCCACTAAACCACAATGCTTTATTGTACGATTCTTTGTGATCGAGGAAATTGGTAGAAGTTAGCAAAGTCATGTTCCAGTTTTTGGTGGCACTAATTGTCTTTTGCATCGAAGCATCAGTCTACGATGTACAAATTTTGGACTGAGATATTTTCTCACGAAGGCGGACTCTTCGCCTTTAAATTCTTCTTTATTCAAAATGACAAAAACGTGTATTCCGCTGGTTCAAATTCCCCACCCCACCCAGACAAGGTTTCCATTTCCCACTCTCGGGGAACAGGCGACAGTCAAATGCCAGTGGGTTGCCCGGGAAGGATGTTGAACCTTTTTTAATACTGTCCTTAACACCAGGGCAGGTGGAAGCGCAGCTACAACTCTCCTTTCCATGCGATCTAAAAGTCTCTCTTAGCCTGGACGTGGTATTGGTAGTGGTAGTGGTTGTGGTACGGTAGTGGTAGTGGTAGTCTTAATTAACTTTCTTCCTTGGAGGCTATAATAAGTAAATTTACAACATTTTGTGGCGGACTTTGACCAGACTACGTGAGTAGCTTACAATTTTTTTTAGGAAATTTTTGCAAATGCCCTCAATTTCGGAATCGAGGCCAGAACACAACACGGGCGCCTACATTCCCACTCTATAGGGGAATCCTTGTTTACAATATTTGCCTCATTAGCATAAGCAATTCAGTTTCTGATGGAGCTAAAAATAAATCAGTTCTGAATATCGAAAGGTCAAAGTACGATTAACTCGGCCGATGAATACGAGCCTGATGCATTGAATACTTTTTGTGCGACACGGGTTTAAAAACTCAAAATTTTACATAGAATATATGAGCTCATGAGCGCTTTTGCCACCCAGAAATTTTGCAGTTTTTGATGGACTATTTCTCCTTGAATATTACACCCAAAGAGCTAAAAATTTCACCATGTACTGAGGTTTTCTAGCTCTTTAGTTGCCTCAAGTCAATTTGTATCTAACATGCTTCCTTCTTTACGCAAAGCCGTATGCAAATGAGCAAAAATGTAAACAATAACGTCAGCATGAATCCGCCTGTACGAAATGTGCGTGGGTTCTTTAATGTTCGCACGTGCGCAACAAACTTACAGTAAAAAGTATATATTTCATAATGTACAAGTCTATACTAAAACCGTGGATAGCGTTGAAAGTGCGCTCAGATTGGCTACTCAAACTCCGAATATACTTTGCCATTCAATCTCGAAGATGGTGAAATCGTTGCAATTTTAAATAGGTTAGAATCATCTTTTGTGCCATATTACATCATTGTTTTGGTATATGCTAAAAATGGAAAAAAGAACGAGTGTATATGCAGCCATCTTGACCGAACAAGCTTGATCAATAAAGGATTTACCATATCATTGTATAGCAAGAAGGTTTTCACTCTATTAAGTGTAAAGAACGATTAGTCTACTTCGAGGGCCGTAAAGAAAGCCAACTGTGTTTACAGCACAATAAACCCATAAGAATCGATTATGTTTTCTTTGGTTTGACTTTTTTCTACCGCTTCTTACGTCTCCATCGCCGACATTGTCCAAGAGTTACAAACTTTGTTAGTCCGCTCTACGAAACTTTTCTCTTACTCGGAAATCAGAACACAGGATTTGCAATAATAATAATAATAATAATAATAATAATAATAATAATAGTAATAATAATAATTATCATCATCATCATCATCATGTAGCCCAACAGAAGAACCAGAGATAGCTATCAAAGATATGCACACCAAGAAGCATATAAAGAAAGCTGTAAATGAAAAACTAGTCAAAAAAAGTCGAAGATCAACAGTGGCAAGGAAGTCTTTTAAAAGCAAGATGGCAAGATGGCAAGATGATCAACTGAGCCTTGAAAATTGTTTTGCATGGCTTAATAAATGGCAATGTGCTCCTACCCACTGTATCGCAGGCATCATGGAACTGTACGAACAGCTCACACCAACAAAGGTCTACATGGCCTACAAGACTGGAACAACGGACAAGAACGATGTCAAATGTAGAATGTGTGACGAAGGTCCTGAGAGCATGGCACATGTACTTTCTGGATGTCCATCATTAGCTCAGTCCAAGTAGTTAGAGAGGCACAATTTTGCTTTGAAAGTGTTCTTCTTTGAGATGCTCAAAGACCTAGAGCTCGCTGATAGTACTCTGCCATGGTTCTCAGATGTGAAGCCCAAACCTCTTTATAAGTCACCTGAAGCTGAGGCATACTTGGATGTACCAGTATATGCTGATCATACATACGTACAATCTAATCGTGTGGATGCACGTTTCATCGACCACAAAAACAAGAAGGTACTTATGGTGGAAATGAGCTGCCCTTGGATCAACAACAGAGACAAGAAAGACAAAGAAAAGACCAAGAAGTATGGAGCACTTAGACTTGAGCTGACAAAACAACACCCAGGATACAAGATCTCACAAGTAAACGTCATTATAGATGTACTTGGAGGATGGTCTACAGCCATGGAAACTGAAATGAAAGGCTACTTTGGTACAAGATACAAAGAAATATTGCTGAGAATGCAGAAAGCTGTATTAAGTAGCACTTTGAACATTGCAAGAACATTTAAGCTGGTTACAGCGTAAGAATTTTAATGACATTATGATTTGGTTGTTATGCACAGGATTTTATGGACATTTTAAGTTAAGGATATTTTAAGAACCGAACAGTAAATCATGAACATTAAAAAAAAAAAAAACATCTTAGTATTGGGCCAATTGACACTTTTATCGTTTTATATTGATCACTTATATTTAAGTAGTATTAGCTATTGTTATAGTTAACAGTCCTGTCATGCAGATAGGCTACGAATTTTCGCCTATCTTGCTTAGCTCACTAGCATCCAAACCTGTATACTGCATAATAATAATAATATTATTATTATTTTGTATTGACCTATACACCTTTAGAAATAACAATCTTGCGATCGTATCGCGCAACCATGTTTATTTTTCTTGCTGTAATTTTTGAAGCTCGCGTTTTGTTTTCGTCCACATCTCGTGCGGTCATAAACCTCATGAAGCTCCTTAAAGAGGCATATGGTCGTCATTAGCATAGCCTTAACTTTTACTCATTGCATAGCTGACAGCGACCGTGAGCAATTATTGCAACTATTGTTTTTATTATGCGGCAGTATATACATCTGGATGCCCAGAATAAAAATAAAACTATAGCTGTGGCTGGGTGATAAGCCGTGGCCAGCCACAGCGTCGACTAAGACTTCCAATTGTATACATAGATCCTAGTCTACGCTATGGCTGACCACGGCTTATCGTTCTATGCTATCCCAGCATAGAAAGAAAATTAACTCTATTCTAGTCCCTTCACACCATATTCAACGATATGTGCAAAAGCATACATGTGCATAAGCTACAGCTGATCCTTCTGAGTCTCTTTTCTGGGATCGATATTTAAGTTGTGATGGAAGAAGTTTTCGGGATCGTACTTGACTTTCAGCGCCCTGATTCTTTCATGTTCTTCTTCCGCTTCAGGGCCTTGTGGGAATATACCATATTTGGATAGTCTACTGTCCATACTGTCCACCCAGGTTTTCACTTCTTCATAGAAGTTGGGGTCAGGTGTTCCAGCTACAATTCCAATCCAATATCTGTTTCGTATGAGAAAAATAAATATTGGCATTTTGCATCCGAAAATAGAGTTGAAAAGTCTTAAAGGGAGGTCCCTTAGAGCGCTTACGCTTATTTTTACCATTGAAAGCAAAACGAATCGAAACAAACAAAGTTTAACCAATTAAAAGAGAACCGAAGCAATCGAAGCGAAACGAAAGAAAGCGACTGTGACTTAATTACGAAGAAATAAACCTGAACTCAATTCAGACAGACGCAAACTAAACCTGAACTGACGCTGAACCAAACGTGAACTTTCGAAAAATAGTCCTACAAGCCCAAATAGACCAAAAATTCACAACAAAACCTACCATATAAAACAAAAGAAGCGTACAGTATGGGACTAATTAGCAAAAGCTACAAGAACGCGAAAAAAAAAATTTGGCAAAACCGAAAACCACGAACAAAGACGATTACGTAATAGCTTGCAATTCTGTCGCCTGCAGCGCACCCCCAGAAAATACAACGAATGAAACTAACGAAATACAATGAATGATTCAGTGGCAAAATCTGGTTCACTGCAACTACGGAATCTGTACAGAGGGGACAGAGGTGCTAACAAATTAAGGATCTTTTGCCACAAAATAATAAAAAAGAAAATTGAAGAGTAAGCCACCGTGTTGGCAGCTATGAGAATCTTCCGGCGTAAGAGTCTTTTCAGTACATAGGTAACATGAAAACTCATCGATCCATACACAGAGAGACGCAAAAAGGCACCGATAGGTATACTTTTATATTTGGCAAGAAGCAGACATGTTCTTCTTGTCGCAACGATAGAAGCAACGCCACGATACACCTCTACTATTTTGCTAAAAACCACCAAAGGCGTAACAGAAGATAATGTCTCGCGCAAACTGTATTGTCACGGTGCAAACAACATCGAAAAAATTTCTAGAAGAACTGTCGGAGTAACAGAACCTTCTATTAAATAACATGTGGGATTTTAGAGTGCACCAGAGGGGCGGGGGAAAGGGGGGCGGAATTGGAAGGCGGGAAAAATATAACGAGTTACAAGCGCGGAAAGAGATGTAACTGATGGAAAAGGTGGTACATGTAACAAGCGTTACTACGCAACGAGAAGTACAACCCAAGGGCAGCTTTGACCGCGTGATTACAACTTACTCTGCTTTTCTAAAGGGATATGGGCTACTCTCAGCTGGTATTTCCTTGACTTTCCCTCCAAGGCTTGTTATGTAGATGTTACTGCCTGCTACGATGCGCGAATCAGGCGCTTGGTTGATCCCATCAAAGATGATATCAATGCCGTCATCGGTAAGTTCTGAAACACGATAAAGGTAAGGGTAAAGTGTGTACTAAAGTCGGCAGATCCACCAGGCTGGAGCTTATTCCGGTTTCCATAGCGACCACTAAGGACTATAACTACCACTCTTGGATGGGATGCCAACCCATGGCAAGGTCATTTAATCAAGTTTCCATGAAAATTTGCTGGTAAACCTGTACCCATTTACATTTCTGGATGGAGAGAGATACTGTAAAAGTTAAGTGTTTTGCCCAGGAACACAATACGATGCCTCGGCCTGGTTTTGATTCAGGGTCCAGTGCATTAACCATCAAGCCACAACGTCGCCCACTTTGAAAAACGATAACCCAGCATAACTCGACATGGTTTCAACCACTGTATTTAGATTTTTTTCTAAGTCTAAAACCAGTGAATAACTCCAAAACAATTTGAACGCCACACGTATGTAGGGAACAAGGGGGGCAAACTCAGTTAAGACACATGACCCCACTGGTTTTTCCACACAATCACGAATGGCAAGAACACGAGAAAAATGCTCGGAGAAATGAAATATTCGCGACGTTTTCCGTGGTTGAAACAATTTTCTTAAGATAGTTATTAGTATGTGTAAATATCTATGTGTATTTCCTCAATGCGTCGTTTAAAATTCATAACTTTCCCATAATGATGCGAAAGGCAGGATTATATTTCTACAAAACGTCTGTAATATCAAAAGCATAAAAGAGACAAACCTTCGACAAAATTTCCCATAGTAGCGTAGTAAGTGATTCCTCTCTGTACCATCCAGTCTCCACTCTTCTGGAACTCGTCAAATGGTAAAGGCTTCACTTTGTTCACTAACGGTTTTGTTAGGTCTGTTAGCTCCATCAGTAGTGCCCCTCCCTCTCTGGGAGGACCAATGAACAAGAAGCGACAAAGAGCTTGCGGTCTGGGGAAAGGATCACGTGACTTTGCTTTAATCTCAATTTATCCAAATGAATAGTGGTGGTAGTTTTCTGAAGAAACTATGATGCTGCGTCAGTGGGGTATTGCAAGATAATTGGTTTAATAAGCTGAGATAATGATGTAAACTGGCCACCGCAAAGAGCTTCCATGCTGACAATTCGAGCGTTAGCCCTTCGCCAGAGCAAATATATAATCAATGAGAGGATTAATTCAAATTGATTGTTTCGAGTTGAACATTGTGCTTTCTTTTCTTAGTGTCTGTACTGGTTCATCCTTTTTACAATAATTTATTCTCTTGATCTAAGTTAACTTAGATGCATCCATCCAGTGTGGCCCGCGATAAAATTCATCAAATGTTGTCTGCTCGGAGTACATCCGCTGAATATGATGATTGTTCAATAATATCCTATGAAGTGTGTTTTACGAGGTAATTCTTCCTCTTTTCACCTCTGGATGTCTGATGAAGAACTTAAGATCTGGTTTTCTCTTCATACGCTAAAAGGATTTTCTTTTAGTCGTGCAAAAGTGTTATTTTTCACTTAGTAGTACAGGTATTCTGACAAAATGGTGCCTTACTGTTAGGCGTTTTTCCCATGGTACTTTGTTTTCTTAGTATGTTTACTCGTCAATTCCTTCTATAATTTTGTACAATTGCGAATGAACGAAGAGTGTAAAAGTAAAAAAGGTAAGTTTCTAACAAAACTGTGGTGCTGCGTCGGTGGAATATTACAGAACAATTTGGTTTTATCAACTTAGTTGATAATGTAAATTGGTCAATGTGGAGAGCTTCTAAATCTGACCTTTTGAATATTCTTACGGACGCCAATTTCCATTAGTAACTTTGTGGCTGACACCAAATTACCATCTTAGAGTAAATGAGTCTTACTCAAATTGAACAATCCTAGTTTTTTATGGAGCACTCACCCGCCTCGCTTGAAATGCAACATCATATAAACAGCCAGTCGATTATCTTCCCTCTCGCGAAGAAAGTCTCGGATAATCTTGAATGCGCTTGCTGCTTTAGACATGGGGTAATAGAGATCGCCTCCAATGACAAACTCTGGGATGTCATGAAGTCGATACTTCAAGGAAGTAACGACCCTACACAGGACGGAAACAGAACTTTTAAAGCCATTGATGAAGGACACAGTGAACACAATTACGCTTAATGGGTTGTAAAAGAAAGCAAAAGCTGTCTTGATACAACTAAAGCGACCTTTTAGAGGGTGGCAAACTTCAAAACTTAGCTTCCTGTAAGTAGATTTTGTCATACACCGAGTTATCAAACATTTACACTGGCAGATCATTTCAGTGTTTTAATGTTTCTTTCAAAAGATTCAAACCCATATTTTCCTAGAGAAGAATAGAAATGTCACTGTATTGTATATGTCATATTTTAGAGCTTTCGCAAACGTAAGTAACGGACATTTCCGTTCAATATACGACAGACAAACATTCCAATAATACGGTTTCATAACTAGAAAGAAAATTGAAATAAAGTACGAATAATTTCCTAGAAATCAAGCATGCATGCTAACGTCCGCTTAACAACGAGATCCTTTAAGATTACCCAAAATTGGATCCAAAACCTTTCATTCCCCAAAACAGTTCTGGATTTTCATTCTCACTTGCTCTCACAACATCTCCGGAAGACGTGACCAGTTCTGTAAAACACAAACACAACAAATTAGATAAAGTGTTGCATGGCATAGTACTCAATTATTTATAACCCTTCTGTGTTATAAGAACCAGGTCATCAAGTTCTCTCTTTAACGCTAGCAGGGTTTCAAATGTGACGTTTGACGAGTTAGCCTTAAGTCTTTGGTGTGTCTCTAGACTTGGAAAAATGTTACATTTGTTGTAAGAATGGTCTGTGACGTGGTGAATGGGAACATAGCCTGCATTCTGATTTTTCTCCGTTGTTACCCGTAGGAATGATCATTTATGCTTGACGAAAAGGAAAGTTCACATCTTTTGCAATTCAAAACGAAGGTTTAAATTTTTGAAAACCTACATTAATCTATTTCTCTAATTAAGAGTACGATAACACGATAAGAACATTTCAAGCCAAAGAGAAATTGGAACCACATTGCACGCCAAGCATCTTAGATGAAATTTCTGAGGTCTCCAAAATCAAAACTTACCAAACTCTAAACAATTATCTGCAGTGCACCCAAGGGATCTGCTCAGAAACCCTGTTCCACCGAGCAATGTGAACCCTGCCACACCCAGTTCAGAATAGCTACCAAGAGGTGTCACCAGTGAATGACGTACAGTTTCCTTGTCAACATCACTCAATTTTGCACCTGCACCTGCTACAACAACCTGAAATTGTGAAAATGAATCTAGAGAGCTTTTTTTGAGCACTTAACTGGTTCATACCAGGAATTTTCATTAAACTTTAGCTCTGTGAATTTTGCAGTGTTTTCAAAAGGTTAAAAGTAAAGTGACTGGAGGAGAACCTGTAACACAATCACATGAAATAAATCGTGTTTTGGGCTGCAAATGACGTACAAGTGAAGAAATGATTCTTGTCGGCAACCTGCCTTCAGGGAAATAACATTTTTCCAAATTCTATCGTTGTTTCTTTAGAGTCAGTGGAGATTCTCATGATCAGATTCACAAAAGGATATTGTCATCGCGTTAAGACCAATCATTACAATACAATTACTCTTTATGAAAACAGGTGCCTTTGAGCTTTTTCAATTAGTTTTAACCTGATGAAATCACTCATAAATTCTTAAAAAGCATTTTGCACGTCTTGCTCAAAAATGAAAAACTTAAATTACAAGTATTCAATGTACAAATATTTTTGCACAACCACAAAATTCAAATCATGTGAAATATGCCTGCATCATACAGTACTGCTCAAGATAAAAACTAGTTTCAAAGATTGCATTTACTAATGTTTGACTTCTCAAAATTACAACAGCTAACTTGACCTAATCAAAGGTTCGGTATTTTCGCCCTCTCACTGTCAAGATCAATTCAGTAATCCTCCTTATTATCCAACTGTGTTTCATAGAGTACAAATAACGTGCGAGACAAGCACAAATATCACGCGATATTCGTACTCCAGAAATATCTGCAAAATTCACCCGCACTGAAATAACAATTTAGCATGTTGGATAATAAATCTCTTATTAGATATTTTATTGTGTAGTATTGTTGAGTATTTTTACTCATTGTTTGTATTTTGACTCGTCCTACGGGCTCATCAAAATATGGCACAACTCGTAAAAATACTCAGCAACACTACACAACAAAACATCTAATAAGATATATTTACTGTCTGTTATAGAACTTGGTATTGGAACACCTAATTAAATCCCCTAATTGATATTTTTCTTTATTCTCATCACTTGTCTTCTTGACATTGTATTGCTATTGTAAGGAGAAAATATGTCTCGGTCACTCATGGAAGTTAAAGGCCTGGGTTAAGCCCAGCAGCCTGTAACTTCACCAAGCTCCTGAGTAGGAATGTTTTGGATGCCTGTACCTCTCTATTCTAGTTTTGCGAAGTATGAAAAACCAGCAGATTTATGCAATTACTGGTACCTTAGGTCAGCAAATTTCGTCACTTCAGTGTTGCTATTCTGTAGCAGTTTTAATTTATGGGGAGCTACAAATTATGCAAGGTTAACCCTTTAATTCCCAGGGCTGAGTGGCTCAAAGGTGGGTTAAGATAACCTAGGGTTAGTGTGAAATCTGACTTCAGATCTGAAACCAATAAAAGAAAATTCAGTTTAATTTCATTTCTCTACAATTTGATGGTAGAGTGCTCTAAAAAGATTTGGGAAAATTTTCCCAAAATGGCTTTTGAACAGAGAAATACAAAAACCTGGATTAAAATTTAACCCTGGGTTAGCCCTAATCAACCTTCAAACAACTGGGCCCAAAAGTGATTAACATGTAACTTCTCCCTATAATATCCCTAAAACAGATGATGAGAATACTCAAAGTTATCAGGTAGATGTTGACAGCTTGACATGACACCAAATAATTATTAGTCTTGCTAATTTACAAGCTAGGAATGTGTAACAGCTAGGAGGAAGAATTCACGATCAGATCTTAGAAGTCAAAAGGTTAAGATAAATAAAAATTTTGTGGTTGATTTGCCCTTTTCATGTCCCACATACAAGGTCCACATCAGCCTTTTGTTTGCTACTTTCAACCCACTTTACCAAATAAAATATATATATGTAGGTATGGCATGGCTTAGATGATACCACAAATGTGGGATCGTTCGGGGTAACCATGTCGGTTCTCCCCCATCCTAGCATCAGCACTGCACTGATGAGGCCCAGAAGGCCGAAACAGTACTGTCTGCAGTTAGATATAGCTCTTTGGCATACAAAGCTATGCTCTCATGTCCAAATTGAGCACTGTGGGGTGAGTCATTGCCACTAGCATTGCACATAGCTCACTAGGCTTTCCTAGTTTGAGCACTCTGGCATGGCTTAGACGCTACCACAAATGTGGGATCATTTGGGGTAACCATATCGGTTCTCCCCCACCCTAGCATCAGCACTGCACTGCACTGATGAGGCCCAAAAGGCCGAAACAATACTGTCTGCAGTTATGTAGGTATGTATGTATGTAATTATAACGAACTGGTTCAAGACTTCAGAGGTAGTTCATCGTTTTATTGCGACAGCTCTGTTTCGTTATAATTATCAATGCTCCTCCAAGAGTTGAGCGCTCTTCGAAATACATTCAAATCAAGTCCAAGAATATGTATGTATGTAAAACATTTCATCCCTTTCCCAATGTTGACAACCTAGTGTCTATTCTCAGTTGCATATATAATTTATATCATCAGATAATTGGTGAGTATTTTCATGAGTCAATGTTTGTGACAACATTAAGATCATATATGTGAACTGTGGTTAAAGAAAAGAGTCTGAAACCGATCTTCACAGTAACGAACACTACTTATTTTTACTACTGCTTAGGTAGTGTTCATTACTGCAAAGATCATTCTCATACTCATTTATTTTCATGAGCCAAAATACAAACAACATGTTAAAATACTCAGCAAACTATACATCAAAATGCCTAACAAGTTATATATTATCCAGTTACACTGAGCAGAATACAAATCCAAATAACCGTGAAATATTGCTGGATGTAAGTACTTGAACGACATGCATTATTTGTTCACAGATAATAAGAACATATACCTTCTTTTCCACATCCACTGTTACACTGTTCATGTCAGAAAGATCAATTACCACAGCATTATCCGCCAAAGCAAAGTCACTGTTCTTTGCGGCACAAACACACATCTCTAACTGAAAATATAACACAATAACATAAATTATTTATCAAGTCACAAGGTGTGATAATAACATGAAAATTAGTGCTATGACTTAAATAGTAGAAATAAAATTTGTCACTTTATTTTCAACTGACTCTTCAACCTCTAACACTGACAAATATCTTTTCTCTCCTAACAGTATTTTCCCTGAATTAAACAATTAGGTCCCGAGAACAAAGGAAATTATCACTGGCTAAAGAGACTCTTGATCATTTAATAAATTCTCTTTGTCATTACCATAAGGAATGTATAGAGTAATGTGGGAAGAATATGCATACTCATGTACCGATACATGTGTTATTAACCAAGTGCAAGGTCAAGATGGCTGGATATTGGCCGAGTTCTCTTTTCAAATTTACATGGACGGAGACAAAGTCGAGGTCCATAAAAATGTGAAAAAAAAATGGGTCTAATATCCAGCCATCATGACTGAACAAGCTTGGTTAATAAAGGATTCATTATATTGCAAAAAGATTTTGCTTTATTAACCAAGTGCGAGGTCAAGATGGCTGGATATTGGCCGAGTTCTTCTTTCACATTTATATGGACTGAGACAAAGTCGAGGTCCATAAAAATGTGAAAAAAAAAAAAAGGGTCTAATATCCAGCCATCATGACTGAACAAGCTTGGTTAATAAAGGATTCATTATATTGCAAAAAGATTTTGCTTTATTAATAATCAAGAATGACTTGTTTACTTCGAGAGCAAGGAAAGAAAGCCAACTGTGTTTGTAGCAAAACAAATTCACAAGAGTCGTTTTTGTTTCCTTTGTTTTGACTATCTTCTGCTCCTTTTTGCTTTTCCATCGCTGACATAATACAAGAATTAAGAACGTACAGGTTTGATTCAATATTTTTCATGCACCAGATCAATGTGGGCTATCCCAAGTGGGGAACACAAGCCCATCTTGCCCGCTTAGGTAGCCCAGTCAGAACATAGGATTCACTTCATCTTGCCCACAGGCACTGTGAGTGATGTAACATCAAGAGTTAACATTAAGAACACAGTTTCTACTTAATTCTTTAACTCATATGAGTGATTAAGACAAAATTTCTCCTTACAATATCACTGTAATATCGAGCAGGCAAGTGATGAGAAGAAAGAAAAATATCAATTAGGGGATTATTGAATGATCGAATTACGGTCTTTTCCTCCAAAAGTATATTTACTAAGTCTGTTCGTTTACTTGTTAAGTCTATTCTCGAAGCAAATAAATAACTTTTAGAAGGCTAGATAAGGCTATAGAAAGAACTTGTTGCGAGCCATTCACATAGTGATGTTACACTTCGTTGCCCTTTTACCCTCAATAGACGCTTAACAACAAGCCTAATATTCCCATTTCTTTCACGTGAAATAATTAAACGGCAAGCAAGTCTTTACTTTTGCCACTATTTAATAAAGTATATTGTGTTACAACTTTATTCATTCTCTGTACACGTACTTATCATAAAATTCATGACGATGAATTCGTAAACGAAGATTGGTGACTAAAGGTATCCGTACCAAAATGGTGGCGGCTCACAACAAGTTCTTTCTATAGCCTTATCTAGCATTCTAAAAGTCATTAGGGACCTTAAGAAACCACAATGGCCACGCCAAGGAAGACTTCGATTAAAAAATGAATTTCTACTCTTAGTTAGAATTTCAAAAATGGCTGCAGGAGCTTACTGTCTCATAGAGCGCCACAGCTCAACTTCAGCATGATGTATAAAGTAGCCGTTGAGTTCCACATGGAAATTAAAATAATTTGCCGTTGCGGTTTCAGTTCGCAGATGAAGCAAATTTTGGCGATTTCACGTTGTTTTGCATAGGGCAGCTAAGAAATGTACAAAGTTTCAAAACGCATGTGCTGAACTATTTTTCTGCCAATTAGATCTCTTGTTTTTCCACATCCTCATTGCTGTTGTCGTCGTGGTTTCTTAAGGTCCCTATTTATTTGCTTCGAGAAAAGACTTCACAAGTAAACAAACAGACTTAGGTGAAAATATTTTTGGACGAAAAGACTTAGACGAAAATACTTTTGGACAAAAAGACTTGGACGAAAAGACTCTTGGACGAAAAGACCGGACACCGAATGATCCAATACCAAATTCTCAGAACATCATACGAATTTTATGGTAGACTGGGTACATTCATCCCCCGTTTCCTGTCCGACATTTTTGCAGACCTCTCAAGTCTCACGATTTTGTCATAAGACTCACGATTTTCAGTTCAATTTCACGGTCTCACGACGAGACAGACAAATCTCACGATAAATAGAGGCGCAGGCTGAGAGGATAAATTTAAAGCATAGTTTCATTTTTGGCTTGCTAGATGCTAGAAGTGAGTTTCTTTGTGCTAAATCTGTGCAAATCCATAACAAACCAAGCTGTTATGTTCTTCATCCCTCTGTTCGCTGGAAACACCATGAGTCGTCCATGACCATATATAGAACAAAATAATTTGGATAGATCAACAAAGTTGAAATGGTAAATTGGCCACCGTAACGATTACAAAAGCTGACGAAGGGCTAACGCTCGAAACGTCAGCTTTTGTAATTGTTACGGTGGCCAATTTACCATTTCAACTTTGTTGATATATCCAAATTATTTCGTTACTCCCACCGACGCAGCCCAAAACAGTTTCTTTCGAAACTGTCAGCCTTTATTCATATATAGAACACCTGTTCCAAGTTAGATCATCATAACCAGTCTCTCGCATTTTGACACACGTTATCAAAATGGCGGCAATTGATGAACCCGATGAATATGTGTTGTTAAGGTCCACACATGTTTTAAGTAAATTATGGGCAGGACAAAAAACACTTTATCTTTATTTTTTATTTTTATTAAATAAAAAATAAAAAAAAAAATAAAATAAAAAACCCGATGAATATGTGTTGTTAAGGTCCACACATGTTTTAAGTAAATTATGGGCAGGACAAAAAACACTTTATCTTAATTTATGAACCTGTGTTTTCTTGGTTTTGTCTGCCGGTCGACCAATCTCCAGATTTTTACTGAAATCTCCAGATTTTTTTAACATCAGTCTCCAGATTTTTGGTGTTTTGAGGTTGAGAGGTCTGCTTTTGTGTCCGAGCGTTTTCGTGTGTCCGACTTTAGAATACTTAGTTTCCTCAATTATATATACCTTTGTAAGCATATTAGAGCTAAATAAATGGTGTAGTGGCTTAGCTGGCCAACGCTCTTAGATACCGTACATGTATCAGTACTCTGTGTGCCCGGTGGAGTAGTCGAAGCAAAATTCTTAGCGTTAGATCGCGCAACAAAAGATACGATAGATTTTTCCCCAGTACGACGGTACTAATGGAATTTATTCCTCAATAACTGTGTCCATTACCTCGTTTTTAACACAAAACTTGACAGAGTTCACGACATCTTCCACAGTCGCTACCCGTACAAACGCACTTGGTTTGCGCGTTCGAATAGCGGCATTCCATGTTTCATCAACCTTCCCTTGATAATCTTTTGCATTTTCTGACTTAACAATGACATTCCCGGAAAGAACGGCTTTCAAAGGAGAAAAATCGACCATTCTGGACAACATTCAGCTAAAACCCCCGCCAAAACAACTAACAAATTCAGCCAGGCGTTACCACCCAGCATGACAAGCTAACTTAACCATCAAGCATCGCGCACTTATTTCCCGCTCCCTCCAGAGAAATGGGTTTTCCACTGTGAAAATGCCCTTGGCGTGAGCTGCGAATTACTCGGAAGGGATTATGGGTGAAATGAGAAATCAAAAGAAAAATTCTCCTCGAAACATAATTTTATTGGCTTCTGGGTTTTTCATCTATTTTCTGCGTGTGATGATGCGAAATGAATGAGAATAAGAATGAATTCGAGACCTTGGTAACCGCGCCATGTTGCGAAATTTACCGGTAATATTACATGATACTCATGATCATCACGAAGAAACCACCTGAGAGTAAATTGCTGACTGCTATGTGATTTAACAAACACTTCATTCAAGAAATAGAAGAAATCAGTAATATTACCGCCCGAAATTGAGGAAGTTAGATTGTGAATTTTGCAATCTAAACCTTCATGTGAAAATCCAACAGGTGATTTCACCTAAACTTCACTTGCGAGTAAACTACATTGTATAGTCACGTGTGGTGCTTCACTCTTCGGATCGATTTCATCCACGGTTCGAGTTAACTTTGACTCAAGGACAGCCACAATTATTTTTAAACGCACTGACCTATGCTTCGACGAGGTGTTCCTTTAACGTCGTTAATCCATAGCCTCCGACAATTTCCTGGTGTTATGTCCTCACAAGCTAATAATGGTTCACGAAGTCCTTGCCATTGTAGGAAATCGCATTGGAAATCCCCCATAACAAGAGCACCTTCTTCATGCTACCAAAACAATAATGAAGACAGGGTAATTGACAAATCAGGGGACTGTAGACCGAGAGAAAGAGGAGAATTACAATGGGAAAACCTATCCGAAGATGAGAAGAATGTTTATCTTGCTCATAAAACTGCATGTATGGTAAGGACAGAACATCTTTAATGCCTTACTGTTTAGGGATAGCTGTAAGATTTATCGCCAATACTCACCACAAGCATTTTGTCGAAATTAATTTAGCCCTATGCGCAACAATTAGTCATGAAGAGTAATCGTCCAGCTGAGACAAGTCCGAACGACTGTTATTTGTTACTATCTGCGAGTATGCACCGAATGCAAATATGGCGTCCAATTTGAACTGCCATTGTTCTGGACTAACTATCCTCGTCTTCACGTGGAAACACAAAAGGATTATTACATGTGTGAGAGGCTAGTGAGTCCAGAACAATGGCAACTCAAATTGGACACCATATTTGCATTCGGTGTATGAGATTGTCAATACACCAACTGCAAATGTGACGTCCAGTTTGAATTCTGGACTCACTAGCCTGGTCTTCACGTGGAAACACAAAAGGATTATCACATGTGTGAGAGGCTATTGAGTCCAGGACAAAATTGGCAATTCAAATTATATGCTATATTTGCATTCCGTGTATAACATTAGTCTATTAATAATTTCAAGGCGACTCTTGTGGAAGTGATCACACTGACAAGACATAAAAATCAAAGAAGATGTGTGTTTCCAATTACTTCCATATGGCCAGGAAGCATGCATTAGGGAGGCTTTGTTAGGGTGAGACGCTGGGTTCTTCAAACCTGACACTTTTTTAGACAAAATACAAGAGCATAGTCAGAGAACTCTTGGGTGCCTTTAACCCATGATCCTCCTTTGTGAGACCACTCTTGTTTTTTGGTTTTTTTCTTAAGAGAACAATTTTCAAACTCTGTGACTAAGATGAAAAAAATGTGTGAATCTACATGGCATAACCTTTTCTAAATGCTCCATGTGCTGGTCTTTCTTGCTGTGTATATGAAAACCAGCCAGTACAAAGGGATTAGAAGCTGCCCACCTTATGTAAGTTGTAATGAAATTCACAACCCTATTCTGTAAAAAGTATAAATGATCAAGGCACATGGACCCCAAGGACTCACTTCTCACACATGCAGACAGATAATTCAAAAGAGATGATTAGAGATTAGTGGTTTCATACGGATGCACCATACTGCCACAATTGTTCAACCCCTGTTCAATGCTTTCTGTTTGGAAAAATACTCTGGTCAAGAAGCTGAGTTGTGAACAGACATACCCTGCTTATGATTTAAAATCTGAAAAACCATATTCTCCCGGATGGCACTTACTTGCAGCCCTAAAAAGCCTATAAAGGGCCTCTTAAGCAGGCCCCCCACCCATCCCCCCCTTAGCTCTCTCACAAAGGCTATTTGTTATCTGAACTTTGACCCTTTTATAACATTAAACAATTCCTCTTGCTTGTTCAGACTGAAATTAGATAAGAACTCTGATTTAGGTGTCAGGATATTTTTTAGGGATAAAATCCTTGGGTAGTACTCATACTGGCTGGCAATTACTGTTGTAAGTGAGATGGTTGAATTGATATAATTTTCTAATTTGAGTCACAGTGGCTAAACGATGCAAATCTCCATGATCTTTGCTGGTTTTTTTAGCATTTGTGTCATGCCTTAGATATAGTTACGTGTACAGTATGCCATAACCTACACTGTATAGTGTTAAAATGTGATGCGGATGACACAAAATCACTGCTCTGGACAGGATTTTGTGTCAGACTTTTGAAGTCAAAATTACTTGGAAGACTTGCAATAATGCCATTGCGTCCACTAGCCTACTGTTGTTTGTTCATGTCAGGTTGATAGAAATGTCTTTGGAATTTTTTTATTGTTTCTTTTTTTTCAGAATGGAGAAAATGGTTACTTAGATCCTGTAACTGGATACATGGTCTTCACCGAAGAATTCCTCTCCAAACGGAAGACCTGCTGTGGAAATGGCTGCAGACATGTGAGTAACAAATTATACTTGCCCTCACACCTAAACATCAGTATGTGTACTCTCCAAACAGTTGTCTTTACATTTCCTAAAGTTCTGAATAAAGGAGAATTTGTTTAAGAATCGAGAGCCTCTTTAATTGGTGATCGTTTCCTTTATTTGCCTTATCCCTTATGTGTGATTCAGGGGTGAAACTGTTTGGAGAAATGAGATGCTGATCACTGCTGGGGGTCACAGGATCAACTATTGTGTTATGCAATAAATTACTTTGTTAAGTTTTCTACTGTACACGAATAATGTTTAGAGGCAAACACCTGTCATATACTTGATCCCTGTCTTGTTGGACAAAAAAAAATATTGCCATTGCGGACTCTCATAGCTTCACTTCAATTTGCTTTTGACAAAAAGTTTCTCTAAGAGAGTCTAACTGAGTGAGGAATACAGCTGAGTGTTTGTAGAAAAAAGTGGTGGACATGGAATCAAATAGATAACATATGAGTTGGTGATTAGAGTAAAATGGTAAGGCAAGTTTATATTTTTACAACTGTCAAGTAAATGTCTGTTTTGTCATTGAAGTCAAATATGAAACAAAGGGATTGAAGAAGAAAGACTACTTTTTCTAAAAAGATTTTTTACCTTTATTTCAGTGTCCATTTGGTCACGAGAATGTACCACACAGTCAGCGCAAAAAGAAATTTAACTCAGCATTTTATGTCTAAATCCAAATAGAAAGTCATGCAATTAATTATTACAGATATAATAATGTATACAGCTTCAGGA